AAGAACATCGTGGCTTAAAAATCTTCGCCAATGGTACAACAAAAGTACGCGTTCTATATTTAGAGCTGCTGTGTCCAAACTTCAAGTCGCGGTAATGATTGCCAATCTTCGTTAGGAGACGGCACCAAAAGAAGAAGATGATTATTATATGAAAACTAAATAAGCATGGAAATTTTACTGTTGTTTTTCAGTTTAAGATTAAGACTATCTGAAATCAACTTGCTTTATATTTTAACATTACTTTACGTTTCTAGAATAAAAATTTAATGTGAAGTAAGTAAAGAAGTTAAGTTCGACGGAATTTAGATTCGAACTGCGTTTTAAATTTCAGCACAGCTTTAAATTCCATCAATTTTATTTAAAAGGAGTATATAAATCTTGTAATTTGAATTCATTTACTTTTACTTATTAATTACTTTGTAGATATATTTTTTGTTTTTATTTTTGTTTTGCGTCGAATTATTATTTAGTGTCACTGGCTACCAATATTGTTGATTTAAATAAACGGCACACGCAATATGAATGTTGGATGTCTAGACAAAAGTAGATAGATAAACAAACACGTAAGTTATGGATTCGTGTAACCTGTTTGTAGGCGGTAGGCGAGTGTGTAATGAGCTCATGTATCGTTCCAACTGCAACGTTTACGTCGAGCAAACAATTTCCGGAATCTGACGATCGTGTTTTCAATTTCAGACACCCTGTATACTCAACATCGGTTAATCGGAAGACTCTCTTCACTGTTTAATTATTAAAGTTGCGTTTGTATATTGGTAAAGAACAATAACATTTTTTTCTTTTTCTAATATACAGCTAATAATAAAACTCTTATAAAAGTGAATGAGAGGAAAGTATATTATTAAAATATGACACAATTTTCAACTTGTGTCATAAACATTTATTATTTACATTTTTGCAGCGAACTAAGATGTCCGGAATAGAGGCGACGCTCATAGAGACACTGCTGAGATGGTGCGGACATCTTGTTCGAATGACTGACTCCAGGTTGCCTAAGCCTGTAATTCTAAACTCTCAGCTAAAAGAGGGTAAGCGCAAGTCTGGAGTTCAGTTTTTAAGGTATAGAGATATCATTAAACGACATCTGACTGCGTGTAAGGTACTTGTCAATGGTTGGGAAGAGCTTGCAGAACAGAGACGAGAATGGCGCAGCTCTGTTAATTCGACAGTTACGCACTTGGAACACTTCATAAAATTAAAAAAAACCCGAATGTATGCCTTCCTACACCTGACACCGCATTCTGGTTACACTATGCAGCGCGTGTCCGGGCCTTTAAAGTTCAGATTCGCCAGGCATCTTGGGGTCCCACTCTCAAAAATGACAAAGTTCTCCATTGACGGTTATGTCACGGAAGATATCATAATCATAATTCACATCGTCATTTATTTCAATTATATGTGATTTTTTTTTCCCTTACTAAAATATTTTTAATAAATTCAAACGTCGAGGATTAATGTTTTACTACCTTGTGGTATACAATTGTACATATGTTTTTGTTGGCATTGTCGCTCGTTACAATTGTTTCCTACTTTTTCCATGTAGTTGGCACAATCAGCATGTCGTGAGGGGCGGGCTATGTCTCACAAGGAAATATCACAACTTTTTGTATTAAATCGAGGTAAAACATTTGAAGTAGGAATTATTTATTGTTGTTGTAATACAATTTGTTATTTCTTTGTGTTGAGAGATAAGAATATATCACTAAGTTTTTTTAAGATTGTTACTTAAACCATTTACCATTCCAACAATACGAGTTTTCGCTGACTTTTGGATTCATAAATATTAGCCTACAATTATGTATCTAATACTGCTTCAATATTTTTTTTTATATTATAAGGTGGCAAACGAGCAAGCGGCCACCTGAGTCCACCGAAAAGGAAAGCGACCGCTGCCTATAAACATCCGCAATTGCAGATGCGTTGCCCACCCTTAATAGACACACACATAAAGAGTACATTTCCCCTTCCTATGCGTCTCCTCCACCGTCAAATCTACTTTTCCTTTCCACCCTTTTTATTTAGGCAAAGATTAGAAAGGGAAAGGAATTAAAATTAGGCCACCGGTACCACACTCATCAGACGAAACGCCGAATTGCTTCCACTTCTGTTTTCTATGTTGGTTTTAAACGGTTTTAAAAATGTAAATTTTGCAGCAACACTTAGTTCCTTGTAACCTCAAAGCGACACGCAATACTTCGATTACTCTTTTATATAAAAGTAGTTTTAATCATAAGGTGTCGAACAGTTACAATGATTAATTGCTTCCAGTTAACTGTTCTGACATCAAACATTTAGAATACGGAAAACAGCACCTAAGGTCTTGCTACGAATAATATTTAGACAGTATTAATGAGTTTTTAAATCTCACTTCTTACTAATTTACTAATATTATAAATGCGAAAGTTTAGATGAATGAATGGATGGATGTTTGTTAGAGTTTGTAACCTAAACGGCTGAACGGATCTCGATGAAATTCGGCATAGACGTAGATGATAGTCTGGAAGAACACAGCTAGTCACTTTTGTTTTTAATAATGCCCGGACGAAGTCGCGGCGCAGCTAGTAGTTGATATAGTAAGGAATAAAACTGTTAGAATTTTATTTCATTCTTTCAAACAAAAAATAATTAACTATAATAGCATGTTGTAGAAAATTTAAATTCAATAGACTTTGTTTGACCGCAACAGCATTTAGTGAACTTTCGTATTTCGTAAACTAACTTCGAGAACATTCTTGTATAGATCAGGTGCAGAATTAAATTATGACCTACTAACGAATCTATTAAAAAAAAACTAGGAGGTAATAATAACTTTAGAACTACGAGTAATACATTTTAATGTTAAAAACTGCAAATTATTATACTAAAAGTAAATTTACTGTGCCGTAAAAAGACAAGAGATTTTACATACTTTATAATTTAATGCTTGTATAATAAAAAAATTAATAAATCTAAGCAATACAATCTAATTAATGATAGCTTTTCTTAAGAGTTTGCTCCGCAATTATTTGTAATGTAAACATTAATATCTGTAACGTTTACATAACATCAACTTGAAAATTAATAATAATCGTACTTCATACTAATATTATAAAAGCGAAAGTTTAGATGGATGGATGGATGGATGTTTGTTAGAGTTTGCAGCCTAAACGGCTGAACGGAGTTCGATGAAATTTGGTATAGATGTCTATATCTATTCTGTACTGTTCTTCCAGACTATCCCAGTACACACAGGCTACTCACTCTTGTTTTTTTTTAAATTCCACGCGGACGGAGTCGCGAGCGAAACCTAGTATCTTTATAAGTACCAGGTCATTATGGACCAGTCACTTAAAATTCAATTTATCTTAGCTTCTGCTGGTTATCCAAAGCTGACACGTTTAAAAAATCTATTTACATATTTTATTTACACTTTTTCACTATTGTAAATAATAAAAGCAACTGTTTAACTCAATTTATAAAAATAATGATTTAAAAATTTGATATTTCAAATTCAACATCATCAGCACCAGCTCACTATACTTCCCCACTGAGAGGCTCGAAAGAACCTACCATCATAAGGGGGGTGACTAGTCAATAGTGTACCAAGCTGGCACACTTCGGGTTGGGTGTCTTCACACATATCTTTGAATCTCTTCGCTGATATGTACAGGTTGCATCACGATGTTTTCCTTCACTGTAAGAATAATACATGGCGGTATTGGAAGCCAAGACCTGTAGATTACAAATCAAGTGTTCAAACCCCTAAGCCTGAAGCCATATATATTTTTCAGACTATTTCAAATATACAATCAAAATGGTGCGATATTATTTTGTTGATGTTAAAATTCAAACTACGATCGCAACGAACATTTAGTAAACTTTTGTATTTACATAATAAACTACATTCGGGTGACCCTTTCTTGATTAGATCACGTACAAGCTGGAATATAAACAAATAACAACCCAGTATAAACAGAAAGTTTTTGTGGCACTTTATGAAGACAAATTCTAATTTACTTTAAATAATGGTTCTATGCCATACAGAGTCTACCTCGCTTCAATCAAATTATACCGAATATACAAGCAATCGGGCGAATACAGTACTTACAGTAGCCATGAAAAAATACAGGTAGACCCTGACTGATTCAGTCAGTATATTGAGTATAAATCTGATGCAGTATGTAAAGCCATCATTTTCTTAGAATCGTATAGTTTTCATTCAAGTACATAAAATATTTACTTATTAATGTATCTGTTTCTAAATTGAATACATGAAAAACTTTACCTAAATTCCACCTAAAAATGTATCATGATATCCAAATAAGTGATAGATATTTTTCACTAATGTTTTGGGATACTATAGAGGATGTCCGGGAAACACGTGTATTATCTTAAAACCAAGATAAGAATTCGTTTCTTTTTTAAGTGAGAAAACTCCCGATATTAGAGCCAATAACATTCGTTAATAAATATCATGTAATTGGGTTTTTAGAGCAAATACAAATGTTATGTGTTTATATGCCTTGGTTTATTAATTATAGTAAATTTACCAAATACATTTTAAATTGGAATAACATTTCAAGGATGAAAAACTCCGGTAAACAAGATATATCTTCCAGTTTTTAATACATATACGAACGGGTGATCTGCATGGAATGAGACGTCGGGGACTAAACGAGAAACTGCAACCATGTCGAAATCTGAAAGTTTATAAATATTACATTATGTTTATTTACATCTGGTCTTCACTGCCAAAACATTAATACAAAAAGTCATTCTCGTGTCGAAATATCCATTAGTATGTGCTACAGGAAATTCGAAGGAGGAGACCCACTTAAAAAGGATGTTTCCCCTTACTATACCTCTCCTCCACCGTAAAATCCACTTCCTTTCTTCCACTTTCCCATCCTTTCTTTATAAAAAGGGTTAAAAGTGAAAGAAGATGCAATCAGGCCTCCAGCACGCACACTCATCAGTCGTAACGCGGATTTACTCTCACTTCACGGGTATTGCACCCGGTGAGCCGGCCCATTCGCCAAAGATGATAAAGCGGGCTCTACTCTACCACTGTTGGATATATCAAATTTATATTTAACAAGTTGTGCTCAAAAATTAAACAGTAAAAAGATGTTCCATTACCATTCGCAGCAGTGGCTTCTGTACCTCTTTCGTTAATTTCAATGAAAGCCTTTTGGGTCGCACCATTTATATATAAATCATGTTTGATATCGGTTAATATCTTATTAAAGTTTGCCTTGGTAAAATTGAATATTCCCTGTACACCAATCTGCGACATAAAAATATATGTTTTAAATATCCTCATCTTCTAGGGGAGATTATCCAAACTAACACCCTTCTTATTAAATGCGATTCATCCCTCTCCACAACATGACCATACTATGCTACACCGTAATTTCTCAACTACTGATAAAAGCTGTCGTTTAGAAATAACTATGGAATTATAAAAATTTGAAAGTGTCAGTACCAAGTAAACAAATTGCTTTATTCAATCAATTTCTTATACTCACTTGTTGTAGGATTTCTTTTAAGTTTGTCTTAGTTTCTGTTTTGAATTTCGGTATGGATATTTCCGCACTTTTTTTGTGCAAATTGTTTAAGGCTTTTTCTAATACTGAAAAATCTTTTAGATTTTCTAATACTTCATTAATTCCCTCAACTTTGTTAGGAAGTATAATGTACAAGGAAGTTTCATCACCAATGTATGGCAATTCCAAAATCTAAAAAGTTAAAGCTAACAGTTACACACAAATTACAGTTAAAAAAATGAATAAGCATGTTGTATTACATACACTTGCGTTAAGTTCTTCACTTTTTACATAATTGTAAAGTCCTTCGTTAAACATTGTTGGCAGCTGTATTGTTTTGCCATTCGGCAAATAAAAGTTACTATCAAGCGTGAGGCGTTCGTAGAATGGATGTTTCCATGTACCCTGATTTAAGACAATGAATTAATGATTTGTTAAAAACAATACTTTTGTCTATCCAGATTTTTCTTAATTTTATCCAAAATACTAACCAAAAAGTATATTGCATTAACTAGGAGAGCTCTTGTCAAAGTGTTGAAGGAATCGGGGTCGACTAAGTCTTTAATTCGACCATTTGTTTGTTGTTCCACCTATAACAAAATATTTTAAATGTATTTACAACGATTGGATTTACGTTGAAAGCCACGCACGCTAAGACCTAGTTGACATTTATAACTAACTAGTCGAACTATTAAGATAAAACGGAGCGTGTGTAAGCAAAATTTTTACTTTCAATTAACTGTAACCTTTACAAAGAACGTTAAACTTTAAAAAATAAACATCAAGAAAATTCACATGAAAGTTAAAATGTAGTGATTTTTTAACGCCGGAGTCCAGAAATATGCTGTTAATAGTAGTTCAACATTAGTAATAATATAATTTATACTATAATAATACTACACAAATTCAAGTTATCACAATCAGAATCTAATAATTTAACCACTTAGACAATTACTTACCCAAGTATTTATCTCATCTGCAGCACGTTGACTTGCAGTAAAATCGACGGTTTTAACTTCGGATTGGAATGTTTCTCTCACAACTGCTGTGTAGTCCTTTTTAAGAGAGTATCCATTGGCAACATAAATCTTGTTTGCCATTCTTAAATCAACTCCTTCAATGAAACTGAGTGTATTATTAAGTTGCATGAATGCAGTTTTAATCTGAAAAAATTAGGAAACCAAGTTTGCAATAAAGTCAAATATCGAACGATTGATTGAATCTTCATTTACCACTAATGGGATAACTGTTATGGGTAGCAATATGCAAGCAAATGTAATTTTTGACATCAACATTATATTGCCCCACTGCATCAGGTCTGCGTATTTGTTAATGTTTTAAATTAGTGTTACCGTCCTGTCATCTGGTAACCCTATCGCTCTCAACAGTTCGTCATGGCTTTCTCCTTCAGAACCCAAAGCCAGTTGCGCCAATGGACTTAGCACAGAAAATGCTGATAGTACAAAACTTTTTTCCGGACTTTGTTTAGCGACTTCCTGAAATTAAAATTAAATATCACATTTTAACACTTTAATGCGTAACAGGCCAACGTCGGTTTGCCGCGGAACTTGAGCTGGATCGGACAAAGAAAACTATGTCCCGCTAACTTGAGCGAAATAATTATCTTAGGTGTTTGTAAAAAATCGACATAGACAAATATATATTTCATCTTGTAATCAAAATTGTACGTGTTCCCCATCAAAAGATTGGCAGATTCCAGGGCGATTCAAACCTAAGGAAGTTGAGTACGAAGGTCATTCTATATAAACATTCACAATATAAATAAAAATATACATTATGTTTCCACAAAGTTAAGGCAATTTAATCTATCTGTACTAGTACTGGCGGGTCTAAAAAGACCTGTCATGCAATGGCGGAAATAACATTAGTCGCATTGGTCTGCAACAACACCAGATGAAGAATTATGATTTTATTTGCAGCATTGAACGTGTTAAAATAAAAACAGTACTGGAACTAATATTGTTTGTGATAATAAAATCTTGCGTAAATAATTGCATTACATTAAATCTCTTGTACACCAATTATTTCTAATTTTCCGCCCTCGATGCGATTACGGTTTTTTTTCACAAAAGTTATTAAGTATTCAAAAACTGGCCAGAACGAACATGTAATAATGTGTTTTTTTTTTATTATATCCAATAATACAATTGGAAGAAAGGCGAAAAAAGCATACGTAACGTTTAATATTTAAACTGGTTTTTAGTAATGTAAAGTAAATTGACTGTCAGCGTAAAATTCATGGATTAATAAAAGCAAGAGCTAAAATTCTCTTAAATTTATCGATTTCGAACACTTATTAGTTAAGGTAATTTTTTATACTGTCTCGTTAAAAATAAACAAAAAAATCATTGGTCTTAAAACTTACTGAGAACATTTTGGCTGTGAATTTGCTATTTCCTTCCGTCAGGAGCTGCGCATCTTTATAGCAACTTACTGTTGCAAGGCACACTAATACTACAACTAAAATTGTAAAGTAACGTAACATATTAGTAGCTTACATTTAAAACAAATTATGTAAAAAAACTAGAAAAAGATTCTGCTTTACAATTGATTCTTAAAATTTTTAGCATTTTCTATGTCATGCTAGGACCGCGACAAAGTTAATCTAAAAATTAGAGTGACGGTATTTACAGACGAACACTCCAATTTTTTTTTCGACGTTAATATCGAAAAAATATTCCAGATTTCGCAAAGGTGGTGTATTTGCGTTGCTGATAACGAAAATCGAATTTAAAAGATTATTGTTTGCATTCCTGTCCTCAAGCCGCGGTTGTACAAGACTATCTCTGTAACGAGTGGACCCATTTTGAAGGGAGTTTGACTCAAAGGTTGCTGGTCGAATTGGTAATTAAGAGAAATTTTATTAAATATCAAAGTTATGTTAATTGATAAGTGTTTTATGTGTGTGTAAAGTAACTATTATTCTTCTAAACAAAATAAAAACAGCTACAACTAATTAAAACGAAATTAATACAAATGATTACTTGTATTAATAATTCATACAAAAAATTAAGAAAACTAACGTAATTAATATTTTATTTAACATTTTGAAATAAGTTACTAAATGTTATTGGGTCTTGTATTTATAAAAATAATATGTGGATATGTGAATTGCTTACAAAAAATAGTCTTCATGTTTTGAGATCTCACTCATACGCCGGCTAGAGGACTACTAAACAGTTTTGATGTGATGTTTCATTTATAAATACATTTTACACAATACAAACATGAACGTTATCGATATTTCGGAGTGAAAATCGATTTGAATCGCACCTGATCGATACATCGAACAGTAGGACAGCGCTATGCTTTCTCAAAATTCTTGTTTATTAAAGCCACAATTAGTATAGCCCTTATATACTAAAAAAAGAGTTGTACTATCGGCCGTCGTCAGGTATTCATAAATAAATATTTTGGCTTGAATATGAGATTCCCAAACGAAATTACATTAAATAAAGTAAAATGCACAATGTTGTGGGGCCATTATCTCTACTTTACTAGTATTCAAGTTATTGTTTTAACTTCTTTTGTTTTGTTCAACATATAACCGTTTCCAAATAGAATATATTAAAAACTTTACCTAAATTCCACATACAAATGTGTCACGATTTTTCACGAATTTTAAGTACTAATGTTTTGGGATACTATAGAGGTGTCCGGGAAAGACGTGCATTATCTTAAAAACAGCATAAGAATTCGTTTCCTTTTTAAGTAAGAAAAATTCTGGTATTAGAGATAAAATACGTTAGTAAATATCATCTAACCGGGTTTTTAGAGCACTTAATAAAAAACTTTTGTGTTTATTTGACTTGATTTATTAACTATAATAAATTTTCCAAACACATTATAAATTAGAATAACATTTCAAGGATGAAAAACTCCGCTAAACAAGATATTTCCTCCAGTTTTTAATACATATACGAACGGATGATCTGCACGGAATGTCACGTGGTCGACTATACGAGAAGCGCCATACATTCCGAATACTGAAATTTTATAATTATTTTATTAAGATTATTAACTTCGAGTCTTCATTGCCAAAACATTCATAGAAAGTCATTGTCGTGTCGAAATATACATTAGTGTTACATGAAACTCTCAACAGCTTCAGAACTAACTACTTTGAATTGCCCCAAAATGATAAATAGTGAACCAATGAATCATACAATTTTGTTAACAAGTGATAATAAATATAGTTACTTGCAAAAATAAAAGATCTATTGGTAGCAAAAATCGTTGATTCCGTTAAAATATTGCTCGTTTGCCACCTTATTTTTTAAATAAGATAAGTAAACGGCCACCTGAATCCATCAAAACGACGAAGCCATCGCTGCCCAGAGACAGCCGCAATTGCAGATGCGTTGTCCTTAATAGATGAAGGAGGAGACGCACATAAAAAAGATATTTCACCTTAATATGCGTCTCCTCCACCGACAAATCTACTTTCCCTTCCCATCCATTCCTCATATCCATTCCTCATGTTATTTATAAAAGAAGAAAAAATTAGAGCTGAGGCACGCACACTCGTCGGTCGTAAAGTGTATTTTCTTCCACTTCACGCTTGTCTTCTGTGTGGTCGTGGTATTGCACCAGGCGAGCCGGCTCATTCTCCGAAGATGTTACAGCTCTACCACTATTGGATATATCAATTTTATATTTACTAATTTAATAAACATCAAGTTGTGCTCAAAAATTAAACAGTAAAAAGGTTTCCATTACCATTCGACGCAGTGGCTTCTGTACCTCTTTCATTAACTTCTATGAAGGCCTTTTGTGTCGCACCACTAATATATAAATCATATTCGCTGTCAGTTATCATCTTATTAAAGTTTGCCTTGGAAGCATCGAAAATGCCCTCCACACCAATCTACAACAGACAAGTATATTTTTAACGTCATCACCTCCTAGGGGAGGTTATCCTACTCCTGTGCACCGAGTTTACGACCTTCAAACTATCACCTGTTATCTCAGTCATCACTTATTTCTTGATCAATGTCACCTTTCACGTAAACCATCCATCTTCCTAGGTCTACCTCAACCGGTGTACCACTCCACACTAACGTCCTTCTTGTTGCATACGATTCATCCCTCCTCATTACTTGCCCATACCATGCTTACCTTTTATTACTTACTTTCTCAACCACTGAGCCTACGCTCAAACTTTTTTCTAAACAGTCGTTTAAAAATAAACATGTAAACAAATTGCTTTATTCAATCAATTTTGTATACTCACTTCTGGTAAGATTTCTTTTAAGTTTGTGGTTGTTTCTATTTTAAATTTCGGTATGTATGCTTCCACTTTTGTTGCGTACAAATTGTATAAGGTTTTTTCTAATACTGAAAAATCTTTTAGTTTTTCTAGTAACTCATTAATTCCCTCAACGTTGTTAGGAAGTACTATGTAAAAGGTAGATTCATCACCAACGTAGGGCATTCCCAAAATCTAAAAAAATAAGTTAACAAAGCTAACAAATACTGCTAACATATTGTAACAAAACATATTGTATTACATACACTTGCGTTAAGTTCTTCACTGTCTACATAATAATATTTTTCCTCGATAAACATTGTTGGCAGCTGTATTGTTTTGCCATTCGGCAGATAAAAGTCACTATCACGCGTGTTGCTTTCGTTGAATGGATGTTTCCATGTACCCTGATTTAAGACAATGATTTGTTAAAAACGATACTTTTGTGTATCCAAATTGTTCTTAATTATATCCAAAGTACCAACCAAAAAGTATATTGCATTAACTAGGAGAGCTCTTGTCAACTCGTCGAAGGAATTTGGGTCGACTAAATCTTTAATTCGACCATTTGTTTGTTGCTCCACCTATAACAAAGTAATTCAATTGTATTTGCAAAGACTGGATGTACATTGAAAGCCACACACGCTCAGACCTAGTTGACATTTACAACTAGTCAAACTTTTGAAATAAAGCAGAGCGTTTGCAGGAAAAATATTAACTTTAAGTTGACTGTACACTTAAAGTTTTTCCAACACACGCACCATATTCAAAGAACGTTTAACTTTAAAAAAAAATCAAGAAAATTCAACTGTTTAGTTCAAAATGGTCAGTTAGAACTAAGCGCTTGTTACGACTTTTGGTACTATGTCTAGGGATAACGAGAGTAAGTCGATCATGCACCCTTTATATCAAATCTTTGGTCTGTTCCAATTTTAGGAACTCTATAATTGATATCAAAGTAAGTTCTCTTAAAACTCTTAGTGTGCATAATATAATTTATATCATACAAATTCTATTTATCACATTAAGAACCTAATATTTTAAACAATTACTTACCCAATTATTTATCTCATCTGCAGCACTTTGACTTGTAGTAAAATCGACGTTTTCAACTTCCGATTCGAATGTTTCTCTCACAACTGCTGCGTAGTCCTTTTTAAGAGAGTACCCATTGGCAACATAAATCTTGTTTGCCATTCTTAAATCAACTCCTTGAATGAATTTGTGTTTATAATTTAGTTGCATGAATGCATTTTTAGTCTGAAACATTTAGGAAACCAAGTTTGCAATAATATCGAACGATGGATTGAATCTTCATTTACAACTAATGGGATAACTGTTATGGGTGATCCCATTAGTTGTAAATGCAATATACAAGCAAATATAATTTTTGACATCAACATTATATTGCCCCACTACATCAGGTCTACATACGAGTATATATTAATACTATCATGTAGCAGAAAGTGTTAATTTTAAAATCTCTGTTTTAAATTATTGTTACCGTCCTGTCATCTGGTAACCCTATCGCTCTTAACAGTTCGTCATGGCTTTCTCCTTCAGAACCCAAAGCCAGTTGCGCCAATGGATTTAGTACAGAAAATGCTGATAGTACAAAACTTTTTTCCGGATTTTGTTTAGCGACTTCCTGAAATTTAAAAAAACAATACAAAATTTTAAAAATTAACACATTACTGGAACTAATATCGTGTGTGATAAAAAAAATCTTGCATAAGTAATTGTAGTACTTTTCTCTGTAAACAGTTACTTCTAATTTTCAGCCCTTGATGCGGTTAAGTTCTTCTATACTTACGAAAGTTTTTATTTAAAACCTTGTATTTAATAACATGTTTTTTTTTTTTTATTTCCAATAATGCGATTTGGATAAAGGAGAAAAAGAGATGCATACGTAACGTTTAATATTTAAACTGGTTTTTAGTTATTTAAAGTAAATTGATTGTCATTGTAAAAATCATAGATTAAAGCAAGAGCTAAATTCTCTTAAAATTGTCGATTTAAAACACTTCTTAGTTAAGACAATTTTTACGAGTATAAAAATCTCGTCAAAAAATAACAAAAAAAAAATTCATTGGTGTTAAAATTGTGTTAAAGAACTTACTGTGAACATTTTGCCTGTGAATTTGCTATTTCCTTCCTTTAGGAGCTGCTCAGGTCCATAGCAACTTACTGTGGCAAGGCACACTATCACTACAACTGAAATTGTTAAGTACTCGTTACATGACATGTTAGTATCTTACATACGAGTATAAAACAAATGATGGAAAACCGAGATAAAGAATATGCTTTGCAATTGATCCCTAAAATATTTAACATTTTCTGTCATGCTTCGATTGCGACAAAGTTAATCTAAAAATATTGTAACTGACACTGTAACGAAACACTTCAATTTTTTTTCGACATTAGTATCGAAAAAATATTCTAGATTTCGCGAAGGTGAAGTATTTGCATTGCTAATACCGACGATCGCATTTAAAAGATTTTCATCTGTATGCCTGTTTTCAAGTCACGTTTGTACAGGATAATCTCCGAGACGGCTGGGCCAATTTTAACGGGACTTTCACTGGAGGGTAACTGACATGGACGGGCATGTTATAGGATCCTTTTATTTTTATCCCGCGCTGTAAAAGTGGCGACTGACCACTAATTCCGTAACGAGTGAACCGATTTTGACGGGACTTTGACTGAATGATTGCTTTTGGAATTGGTAACCAAATGTTACTAAGTATGCGTAAAGTAAATATAATTCCTATAAACAGAATAAAAACAGTTACAACCATTAAAATGAAATTAAAACAAATAATTTCTTCTATTAATAATTGATGCAAAAAATTAAGAAAATTAACGCACTTAATGTTTTGTAATCTTATCTTACTAATATTATAAATTCGAAAGTTTGGATGGATGGATGTTTGTTAGAGTTTGTAGCATAAACGGCCGAACAGATTTCGATGAAATTTGGTATAGATGTAGAGGATAATCTAAAAGGACACATAGGCTCAATCACTTTTGTTTTTCGGAATCGGACGGAATCGCGGGCGAAAGCTAGTAATTTACTAAAAGTTATTAGGTCTTATATTTTCATAAAGAAATTAAAACAATATGTGGACATGTGAGTAGCTTACAATAAATACTGGTCTTCATGTTTTAAGATGTCACTCGTACGCCGGCTAGAAGACTACTAAGCAGTTTTAATGAGATGTTTGATTTATAAATACATTTTTACACAATAGAAACATCAACGTTATCGATATCTCGGAGTGATAATCGATTCGAATCGCACCTGACAGATATATGGAACAGTTGGTCAGTGTTATGCTTTCTCAAATTTCTTGTTTATTAAAGCCACATTGAATAACCCTTATATACTAAATACTATCGACATCAGGTACCCATAAACAAATAGATCCCCAAACTAAATTATATTGAAATGTAGAGAATGCACAATATTGTTGGGCTACTATCTCCACCTACCAACAGAAGTGGGGTTGGTTTTAATATCATCGTGTTTAAATAAAACCTTACCTAACAATAGAGATCACCATAATATAAGCTGTTGTAACTTGTACGATTGTTTTTTTTTTATTGAAATTTGCAGTAACAGAAATTCTATTAGAATAAGTACTCCATAACTATAACCAACGTCGTCGTTTTAAAATATAATCAGGCTACCAATACGTATTAACTGAGACACATTCTAAATCCGTTGTGGGTGGGCGATATCGTGCATTGTCCTTCAAAATAAATAAAATTGCAATTATATTTTAAAATACATTGATGAAACATAGAACGCCTCTGTTGTAAATGTTTTAATTAATTTATTAGCCTCAAAGATAGTTCGCATTTTGTATATCTAAGTCTGTAAATACTAGATATAATATGTCATAAGATAAAATAATATTTTTATAAAACTAAGAGGAAATGACATTTAACAAAGGTATTACGCAGACGTGAGTTTGCATCCTCGCATATAATATAACGATCAAGTGTATCTAATCGGAACACGTTCACTGTTATATGACGAACGTTGAAATTATGATGTTCTTAGAAATTTACTTACAAATAAAAAACCCAGTCGTAGACAAAGAACCGCAATAAATAACATGTCATACATAACAACAGATAAGGCCTTTGTCCAGTTGTAGTCGGATAAGCGATGTTGATGAATAAATATGCTAATTATAATTGTTATTCTTAATCATAATCATCAGCTATACGACCCCATCGTGGGTTCGGTGCTTAACTAAGGTTGTCTATAACCAAGGGGGTGAGTAGACCATTGTACTGACGTACTGACGTACATTGTACTGACGCTGCGTGCTTTTTGACTTCACACATATCTTTGTAATTCCTCGTAAATTTGTGCGGTTCACAATGTTTTCTTTTATTATCACCGTTTTTCATAAATGTGATTAATATAGCTTAAGGATCAGACATCGTGTTCAATCAATACTAATCGAAAGACTGTTTGTACATGCAATTAAGTTTACACCTAAGATTATTATAAATTACCTAGAAAATTAACAATTGTACTTAATCCAATACTAGTTGTTATCGTGCGGCTTCATCCGCATAAAATTATTAAAGTTTTATTTTATTATTTACATTTGTCAAATTATAAATATCAAATATCAAAATGACATGACATGATGACAAACCATGGCAATCTTGCTTCCTTGATGTTGACAGCTTGTACTGTATGGTCCCTTTCCCACATGAAGCCATTTTTCAATTTATGTATCCCCTAAGTCTAATAGCGTGAAAATAAGCCTAAAGCGTGTCGTAAGTAAAGAAAGAATTATTCAAAAATATACTGTGATTGGTGACTTCCTACGCCACAAAGTCGTGTGTGTTTACGCTTTATTATATTAGCATAGATGTACATAGATATAGATGGACATCGCCAATCTTGTTAAAATATGACACGAGCGTATCATAAACTAAATGAACATTATATTAATCGAGCGGATATAGGACTTGCAGACGCCACTGGACGTACGTAGACTGCACGAATCATTGTATTGCGACCACTAAATTACAATACAGTGTACGGAATTCAAAACGACTGTCTTCTCAGAATCGTAGAGTTGTCATATAACTACATAAATACTTACAAATCCAATGGTGGAATATTTAATGGACCGGTATTTATGTTCCTTTTTTTATTATATTTTGTACAAAACATACAATTCTTTCGAAATTGAATATCGACATAAACTTTTGTTAAATTCCAAAAAAATGTATCGCATTTTTGAGCTTCAGCATTATAATGTTTTGGGTGATTATAAAAAAATCAAGAATACGTGCATTAATGTAAAGAAAATGTTATTATTTCTCCGTAAACTCCTTAAACATCGTCGTACTAGTGTTTAAAGTACGTAACGAGATTTCCATCCGTGTTTACTTTTAATATTGTTCCATTAAAGTGTACTACTTGTACCATGCAACATTTGATATTTAATTTCACCAAGCACATTGTTTTTATTCTTTAACTAGCTTTCGCCCGTGACTCCGTCCGCGCGGAATATAAAGAAAGAAAAGCAAGTAGTCCGTGTGTTCTTCCAGACTATCCTCTATATCTATACCAAATTTCATCGAAACCCGTTCAGCCGTTTAGGCTACAAACTCTAACAAACATCCATCCATCTAAACTTTGGCATTGATAATATTAAAATAATAGAATGATTATTAATTTTAACTACCTGAATATTATGGTTCAACTTAAGTAAATTGTGTGATTTTAATCCTTTTTATTTGTATTCTTAGTTAATCAACTAATTTCTATTTTACCTTTTCATTGGGCATTCGAAAATAGCCTCTAATTTCACTTTTATAATGTTTAAGGCATAATCAGAATACGTCTGTTTCTTTGAAAAGCGAAAAACCAAGGAACTGAGAGCCGCTAAAATGCATTATATATATATCATTTAAGTGGGTTTTTAGGGCACTTAATAAAATAATGTTGAGTTAATTTTACTTGGTTTATTTATATAGTAAATTTTCCTTTTACATTTCAAATTAGAATAACATTTCAAGGATGAAAAACTCCGCTAAACAAGATGTTTCTTCCAGTTTTTAATACATATACGAACGGACGATCGGCACGGAAGGTGACAGTGTTGGGTATAAACGCAGCCAAATACTGAATTCCAAACTCTGCAAATTTATAATTATCTTATTATCAGACTTAATTTACCTCAGGTTCAGACAACCAAAACAGTCACACAGAAATTCAGACTCGTGTCAATATCTATTAACATTATATGTAAATTTCGACTTCTTCAGCTTGCAACAAATTGATAGAGAAATTAAAAAAGTGATCCAATGAAACATACATAGATACTAATACAAATTATTAGTCATTTTCCTTGACAAGTGATGGTGAATATACTCCGTTAAATATGATATTTTTATTGACTTTTATTGCAAAAATAAATGGTCTATTAGCAGCAAAAATTGTTGATTCCGTATATGACTCCGTTATAATAAAAGCTGAAAAAATAAATTAAATAAACATCAAATTGTGCACCAAAATTAAACAATAAAAGGTTTTTCCATTACCATTTGCAGCAGCGGCTTCTGCACCTTCTTCATTAATTTCAATGAAAGCCTTTTGTATCGCATCACTTATATATAAGTCTTTTTGGTTAGTTATTAACTTATTTAAGTTTGCTTTGGAAGCATCGAAAATGCCCTCTACACCAATCTACAAGAAACATTTTTAAATCGTTTAAAAATAACTATAAAATTATAAAATATTTTGAAAATTCCGTTACTAAGTAAATTAATTGCTTTATTCAATCAATCTCGTATACTCACCTCTGGTAGGGTTTCTTTCAAGTTTGTTGTAGTTTCTATTTTGAATTTTGGTATGTATGCTTTCACTTCTGTTTTATACAATCCCTTAAAGGCTTTTTCTAATACTGAAGAGTCTTTTACTTTTTCTAATAGTTGATTAATGCCCACAACATCGTTTGGAAGAATTATGTAAAAGGCTGATTCATCACCATTGTAGGGCAATTCTAAAATCTAAAAAGAAAAGAACGGTCGTAAAACGCTAACAAATTTTAAAAATGTACAGGTTTATTTAAAAATGTATAGGAAAGAGTAGGTAACATACTCTTGCGTTAAGTTCTGCACTTTCTCCATAATAGTAGTCTTCTTTGTTATACATTGTTGGCACCTGTACTTTTTTTCTATGCGACAGATAGAAGTCTTGGTCACTTGTGAGATGTTTTTCGAATGGATATTTCCATTTTCCCTGTTAAGAGATAACGTATCAATGATTCATTCAAATTTAAAACAATATTGTAAACGTCCACATTGTTATTAATTCTATCTGAAGTACCAACCTTAAAGTATATTGCATTCACGAGGACAGCTCTTGTGCTCTCATCTAATGTATTGGGATCCACTAAATCTTTAATGCGGTCATTTGTTTGTTTTTCCACCTATAACAAATAATTCAAACATATTCCCTAAAACTCGAGTAATATTTAAAGTCACTTACGTTCATCTAGCTAAAAACTATTGAAACAACTTTTGGTACAATATTTAAGGATATAAAGAGAATGCACTATTTATATCAAATCCTTGTTTTATTTTCGGGATCATAATAAAAGTATATTTTATTTAAATTATAAATGTACATAACATAATTTGTATTATGTAAATCTATTACTTACCCAAGTGTTTATTTCTTTCGCAGCGTTTTGGCTTTCAGTAAAATCAACGTTTTTAACTTCCGAGTGGAATGTATCTCTCACAACTGCTGCGTAATCCTTGTTAAGAGAGTATCCATTGGCAACATAAATCCTGCTTGCCGTTCTTAAATCAATTCCTTTTACTGATCGGAGATTGCTATCTTCTTGTTTGAATGCAGTTTTAGTCTGAAATATTTAGGAAAACAAGCTAACAATTGTCTATTAGCAACTAACTGTATAAATGTGATGGGAATTAGGTCTCTTAGATCAACTTCTAACAATATATAAGCAAATGTAATTTTTGACTAGATAATATTTCCCCACTGCATCGAGTCCTCGTATTTTTCAGATAGCAACAAATATTAAGTTTAAAATGTATGATTTAGATGGTTATTACCGTCTCATCATTTGGTAATCCTATTGCTCTCAACAATTCGTCGTGGCTTTCTCCTTCAGAAGCCAAAGCCAGTTGCGCCAATGGAGTTAGTACAGAAAATGCTGATAAGACAAAACTCTTTTGTGGATTTTTTTTAGCGACTTCCTGAAAATGAAAATTTAATATGACATTTTGAAAATAACTGTAAAGAACTAATGTAGTTTTCATTAAAAAAAATTGCATTATGATTTTTTGTAAAAGATTTTTTTTTTAAATGTATTTTACTTGATTCATTATTTCTATTTATCCGCTTTCGATGCGGTTAGGGTAATAAAACTATTTATAGAAAGTAAATATTTTAAACCTACAAAATTAGCATTCAATAATACATTATTTTTAATTTCCATTAATGAGGTAACAAAAAGAGGAATATGTATATTTATAGTCCATTATTAGTTATTTAAAGTAAACAGAATTAATTTAAAACTCAGTAAATGTTCAGAGCTAAACTTATCTTAAAATTTTCGATTTAAAACACTTGTGAGTTAAGGTAAATTTTAAAGTGTCTTAGTAAACAAAAAGTTTTCGTTTGTCTTAAAAGGACTTACTGAGAACATTTTGGCTGTAAATTTGCTATTTCCCTCCGCCAGGAGCTGCGCATCTTTAGAGTCATTTTCGCAACTTGCTGTTGCAAGGCACACTAACACTACAACTGAAATAGTAAAACAACATAACCAAATAGCTTACGTTTAAAACAAATAATGTAAAAACTTAGATAAAGTCTGCTTTACAGTTGACCTCTAACATTTTAATAACGATATCATCCTACGATCTCACAAAGTTCATAAGTCTTAATCGTGTTCATACAAAACGATATGGAACGTTTCAAAATTGTACACAAACTAGTTTTGAGTCTGGTTATTTACTTCTATGGAACCGGTCTACGAGTATTGAATGCAGCTATGCCCACTTCGTGTTTTCATTGCCTGGATATGTCAATGTCAAGTTGCTTCGGCAGTAATCACTGTTGATAATCGTTAGTGACGTAATAAGCTAACAGAGTATTTTTCCTTATAGCCAAATATAACTAGTTATTAAAATAAAGTATTCATTGCAAGATAATGTTAGTATCATAGTCACGTTAATTGATGTTTTATTTATGTGTAGTGTTAATATAATTTATATAGGACTAAGATGCTAAGAAACATAATTAAAATGTTTGTTATTTCTTATAAAACAAATTGTTTTGTATTAATTGATTGTTACAAAATAAATTATAGAAACTAATGTATTTAAGATTTCATCTACTATATTGCAATGAATAAAACATATTGTACCTTTATTTTATATAAGGAATTAAAAATAATATGCGTAAATATGAATTGCTTACAAGAAAAGGTCTTCATTTTATGAGATGTCACTCGCACGCCGGCTAGAGGACTACTAACCAGTTTTGTTGAGATGCTTGATTTATAAAGATATTTTTATACATTACAAACAATGAACTCTATAAATGGACAAGCTATAAAACATAGTATTGTGTACCTTTTAATTATCGCCATGTTGGCGCTTATAGTTGCATTTGGTGGCGGTGGATAGAATTGGAACTAATTATAGGGATAGAATTAACTGTTATTAACATCAACAGGCGCGTTTAAGTTGGGACGAAGCGAAACCTACAATTACAAGCAATGACCTACCCATTTATACAGATCAGTGAATACAAACATTAACGTTATCGATATTTCGAACGGTGGGTCAGTGTGATGTCTTCTTAAATTCGTTGTTTATTCAAGCCATAATGAGGATAACCTTTATTATCTTATACTAAGAAAAGAGTTATGCTATCGACGTCAGGTATTTATAAATAAATATTTTGCTTTAGAGTGGGAATCCCAAAGTTATTTATTAAAATAAAGGAAAATTCACTGCAATGTGTAGTTGGGGCACTGTCTCCACTCACCAATAGAAGTGGGCAATAGTTTTAATATTCTTATGACAACCAATTAAAAAGACTAACAACAATCGAACCGTATCTTCGAGTTCTCGATAAAACTCTTCATATAGTTTTTTTACACCAAAGTGCTCGTTTTATTTAAAAAGTTGTAAACAAAAAATCTAAAGGTAAAAATCAGTTGAATCTGAATATTTCTATATGACAAAACTATTATAATATATCGTCAATTTTATAGTTACATTTTAAAATTGTATAGATACAGTTTTGATGAACCCTAGAATTGTTCTCTTGTAACCAACGAATTTAATTATTATAATTTATTAGCCTCAAAGATAACTCGCACTTTGTGTATCTTCAGCTTTAAATGCTTATTGTTTGAATAAGATTATTTTTATGGATTTCATAAAAAAAGTTTGTAAGAGTTTGTCGCAGACGTGAGCTTGCATCCTCGAATATAATATAATAATCAAGTGTGTCTAATCAGAACACATTTACTAATATATAGACGAACGTTAAAAATAATTTTCTTAGAAATTTACTTACAAATAAAAAACCCAGTCGTAGTCAAAGAACCGCAATAAATAACATGTCATACATAACAACAGGTAAAATCTTTGTCCAGTTGTAGTCGGATAAGCGAAATGTTGATGAATAAATATCCTAATTATTATTATTATTCTTAATTACAATTATCAGCTATACAACTTCATCGTGTGTTTAACTTTGGTTTTCTATATGTGACTAGACCAGCCAAATATGTGCAGGTCTCTTCACGATGCTTTCGTTCACCGACAATATTGTTCTCAATATGTGAAGAAAACAGTTTTAATAGTTTTAACAGAATATGCACTCGGTCTACACCTACGCATATTATCTATATCCGATAAGCCGCCTTGTAGAATAGGCAGTAAGAAAGATCCTTTTATCCAAACATTCACAATTATAATATTAGTATGAAGTATGTAATAAATGCAAAAGTATAGATGGATGGATGTTTGTTAGAGTTTATAGTCTAAACGGATTAACGACTCATGATGAAATTTGGCATAGATGTAGAGTACAGTCTGGAAAAACACATAGGATACTAGCTTTTTTTCATTCCACAAGTACGGAGTCGCGAGCGAAAGCTAGTAATGTCATAAATCTGAAGAAAAATTAAATTTATATATTGAAAAGTATTGTACTAATATAGGTCATACCATAAAACCCTAAAATTATCGTCTTTGATACTAATATTATACTCTACAATATCTGTAGCTAATTTTAACGTAATAATGAAAGTTTTACAGAAAAAGCATTACAAATCCGTTATTTCTAAGTTGCATTACCGTTGTTGCTTTGTTAAAACTAATTGCATTAGGCAACAATACAGATTGTAATTGTATAAGACTGGTAAAAGCATTTTCTTGTTTCCCGCGCCATGAAAGAGAAGCAATTAGCCGGCACAGCCCACTGAGACAAAGGCTACCTTAATAGAGCACCAAACTCTGACGTACTTGCTATGTTGTCTTACTAAATTTACGGCTTAATGGAACTCAATGTAGTATTTTGTATTCTATCCAAGAGATCGCTTAGCAATAACAACTAACGTGACAGTACTTCACAAGATACTCGAATTAAAGTTAGATTGCAATAAAAAATATAGAATAATAGCTGTTGGTCGCGACTTCGCCCGCACGAAATTAAATAAATATGACCCTGATGCCTCCGATCTATCCAATTACAGGCCAATTTCACTTGCCACAGTTATTGCGAAGGTGTTGGATAGTCTGCTTGGCCGGTGCTAGGATGGTAACGTCTCGCTCAACGATGCGCATTCGATTTTAGACCCGGTCTGTCTACGGATACTGCCATCATGTGCCTCAAACAGACTGTCCAATTCTATACTGCACGGAAAACGCCGGTGTATGCATATTATCTTGACCTCTCGAAGGCGTTTGATCTTGTATCTTATGATCATCTTTGGAGTAAAATGAGTACCGAAACAAATATACCTCGTGATGTAACCTTGCTTTTTAAATTCTGGTACAGTAATCAAAATAATAATGTCAGATGGGCAGGCTCACTCTCGGAAGGGTACAGATTGGAGTGTGGCGTGCGGCAGGGTGGTTTGAGCTCGCCCACACTCTTCAATCTGTACATGAACAGGCTGATCGATGAGCTTAGCAGTACAGGTATCGGCTGTCATATAGATGGAGTATGTATTAATAATGTCAGTTACGCTGATGATATGGTACTGCTGAGCCCATCGAATGGTGCCCTAAAACATTTAATTAAGATCTGTGAATCCTATGCGGTGTCCCATGGTGATCCCATGATCTGTAAATCATATGTCAAATACAACGCGGTGAAAGGCCGGACCGCAAGCGTTACACCAGCGTTCCGAATTTCTCGCTTTGTGGAACACCGTTAAAAATTTAAGTATTTGGGTCAGTGGATCACCGAGGATATGAAAGACAACCTTGACATTGAAAAAGAACGTAGGGCGCTGTCTGTTCGCTGTAATATGTTGGCCCGTAGATTCGCTAAATGTACAAATAACGTAAAGTTTAAAGCATATTGCCAGTCTTTTTATGCGTGCGGTCTATGGGTTGACTACACGCAGAGGATATACAGCGACCTACGTATACAGTACAACAACGCATTCAGGATGTTGATGGGGTTGCCGCGTTACTGCAGCGCCTCTGCTATGTTTGCGGACGCAACGGACGGTCGTACGGATGGCTTCGAAGCCATTATGAGAAAGCGCTGTGCTTCTTTAATGCAGCGAGTGCGTCGCAGCCCCAACAGCATCCTGAGTGCGCTGATGGACAGATGGGACTCGGCGATGCTGGCTCGTTGGATACACTTACATGTAGGATAGTGTAATAAAATGTGAGTTTGTTGTAATTCATATTAATTATGTTAATTTTCTACTAACACTAGTTTGTTAGTTTACACTAACATCTTATGGATCTTTGATATGTGAATGAAATGATTAATTATTATTAGCTGTTTTCGTGCGGCTTCATCCGCATGACTTGATGTTTTATTTTATTGTTTACATTTGTTGAATTAGCTATTGCATATGTCAAAATGACATGACTTGATGAGAAACCATGGTAATCTTACTTCCTTGATATTGGCAGCTTGTAACCTATGATCCCTTTCCCACGTTAGGGTTTTTATCCAATTTATTTACCCTCTAAGTTTAAAATCGTGGAAATACATAGCCTAAAGTAAGTGTAGGACTTTTTATTAAAGAAAGAATTATTCAAAATGTGCTGTGATTGCTGACATCTTACGCCACAAAGTAGTGTGTGTTGACGCTTTATTTTATTAGTATAGAAGTATAGATGTTACTCAGTGATAACATAGGTTTTCAATGGTGCAGGAATTTTTGAAATCGGTCTTGTAGTTTATGAGTTATTTCAATAGATACAAAAATACAAATCTTTTCTCTTCATAACATTACTATAGATAGATAACGCTTCGAATATGCCCTTCCCGATTTTTTAAACGATTTCATTAAGGTCAATTGACTTAATTCAGGTTTCCAAACTATTTTGGGATCTATTTTATTCTTACTTACGGCGAAAATAACAGTATATATATATCAACGCAATGGGTATCACCAAAAATTTAAATATTTCGTTATTACAACACAGCGATTATATTAAGTTTTTTTTATGACTTTTATTCAATAATAAATGTATTTTTTATCTGAAAAGTCATAAAAAAACATCTTGAGGGTTGAATCATAAAGTAAGTTTTGAAAAGGCAGCGAGTACCGTTCAAGAATTTCATTTTATTAGAACTTTTCTCCACTCGTTATTATTATCTTATTAAACTGTCAAAAAGTTCGCACCCTTATTCGCGAGTTTACGAAAGAGATTAACAGTAATTGGAAAACCTTTATTTATGTAAACAATTGTGTATTACGACTTCGGGGAAAAGCAATGGTTTTACTAAAAGAAGCTAGGCTCAAATTAAACGAAGGAATTAAATATTTGAAGATTTCTATGTTCTTTATGTATGAATATCAGCAGCCTGCTGTCTCTCGGATCTAGTACTGGTTCTGAAACATACTTACTTTTATCTGTAACTTTAATGTGCTAATAATCTAATTAGATATAAAACGATACGAGGCTTTTGATTATAATAAAGAAGCAAATTAAAATGCAATTCGAGTTTAAAAAAGTATTAGTGGCATTTTACTATTAAAAAAAGATCGTACTGGAATTATGTATTTCACGTATCCAATGTTAAGTATATTGTACGTTGTATATAAGGCTCTTTTTAAGAGATATAATTTTCTGAGTAAATGTATATGCAAAAATATTACCAAAAGAAAAAAATTAAAAAGTATGCGGTTCTTAAAAGCACGTAGGTAAGAATTTCACAAGGCTTTCATTTCTTCCTAGTAAATTATTCATGGGCTTCGAGTCTTTGTAACACGATGATTTAGACACGGAAGCCTCGCTCGATAATACACTCAAACGTAATATTTAAAACTCAGTTCTGCTTCATACAATATATTATATAAAATTAATAAATCTTATCTATTTGCTCACTAATTTCTAGTAAGTTTTCTTCTTCTTCGTCGCTTACAGACTCGTTGTTGTTATCACGTATCAGGTATCAGTGATCCGCTTCACAAGCCGCTACTCCTCCCTGCATTTTTCGCACATTGATGCGAGGGTACCTCCATATCTGTTCTTATCTGGTCAGTCCATCTCATAGGTGATCTGAGGTGAGACTTTTATAGACGTTAAAATCCTATTTTACAGTTCGTTGTAAAACTTATTACAGTATATTCCATCACACTATTTACATTGTAATTTTAAGATTACAAATGTCACATAAAGGTTATTCACGTCTAATTTCATAGTAGTAAAAGTTTGTCTTCCAATGTATACAAATATGGCAACTACTCATAAAAGAATTGCACCGTCCCCTTTTGAGATCTTAACATCATAATTATTAGGGAACTAACCTGCAACTTTTACACAAAGCGTTAAAAATTCGGGATGTGTTAGTGCTGCGATCGTCCTGAATTTAGAATTAACCAACGTAGAAAATAATGATGTACTAAATCCGTTTCATCATAAACAACTCTAAATTTTAAGAATAATTTCTCTTCGTAATGAATAAGAGTAACTAAAAAGGGAAAATCTCAACAAAAGCCAAACGAAGCGTGGGGGGAGGTCTGGAATCACGGAATCGTCTCGTGGCGATCGTAAATCATCAGTGATTACAATATTCCCCGCGCAGGAGCGCCGCTATCAAAGTAATAAATAAGCGCCGCCTGAAACCCTGTCTCTCAACATTTCTCTGCGACTATTGCGATATAAGAGCTTACAGCTTAGTACTCAATGTAATTGATTTGTTTTATTAGTGCAATGTTTTAGATAGACGAAATGAGTATTATTTTATATCAACAAAATATCTGATTGAAGTGTAAATGAATATGATAAACAACACAAATTGACAACTTCTGAATGATTTGTACATGCCTTTTTGACTGTAAAAGGCAGACATATTCGTCGGAACACTTCGTGCATTTATAGTACGATTAGCTTTCGCCCGCGACTCTGTCCGCGTGAAATTAGAAAAAAAAACAAAAGTAACTAAGTAGTTTATGTGTTCCTCCAGACATCTATGCCAAATTTTATAGAAATCCGTTGAGTAGTTTAGTCTACAAACTCTAACAAACATCGATCCATATATCTAATCTTTCGTATTTACGAGTATAAGTATGAAGTATGATTACGATATAGAAAATTGTATGTTAATAGTTTAACTTGTTAAAAATTATCATACAAGAAACCATCTTCAGCTCACTATAAGTACCCACTAAGGTGCATCCAAGTCACAGGTGACTAGACCTTAGACATCCGCACTATTCCAATGCGGGTTGATTGACACATATCTTTGAATGTCTTCAATATATGTTCAGGATGCATTAATAAATTATACCATCAAAGTTTCTTTTTTATATGACTTGCTTGTTGAACTCAAGTGAGATATTTCAATATCCTAGACTAATTTAAAAAAGTGCATGATAAGGTTTTCTATAATGACAATGAAAAGCAATTAGATCGAAGACAGCTGTTGGAATAAAAGCCTGGTCTATGCGGTTGCACACTCAGACACGATTACATCGCCACTTCAGTTTAATAGAGGGCTTTATTAGCTCACTGATCAAGTAAAATGAGTTTCAATTGCACTTGCAACTTAACAGATAAAAAATTTATAACTTCGTTCAACCAAAGGACAGCTAACATTATTATATACAAAGTTCTAAGAGACGAAAAATAGAAACTTGTTATCTTTAAAAAAAGGCTTTAATTAACTCAAGTTATAGTTTAAAAACTGTAATATTTTTGCGACCTTCCTTGTAATTATCTTCTTATCATACGTATATTATAAATGCGAAAGTTTAGATGAATGGATGTTTGTTAGAGTTTGTAGCCTAAACAGCATAATGGATTTTGATGAAATTTGGTATAGATGTAGAGGATATTCTGAAAGAACACATTGGCTACTCAATTGTGTTTTTTTTTTAATTTCACGCGGAGTCGCGGGCGAAAACTAGTATTAAATAAAATAGTTTAAATTAAATAGATAATTTCCTTTTATTTCACAAATTAAAAACCATTTTTGTGCAGCTTATTCAAAAGTTAACACAGACTTAGTTTAAATCTTAAATAAAATTTCTTTTACCGCTCCTTTACATTCTGGTTCTAAAGAACTGCAATCAAGATAAAACGACTTAATGTAATTTTAGCTCGGAACTTACAGTTACTACGATGTTCTAACTGAAAGAAATAAAATCAATCGAATTGAAATAGACTTGTCCTTACTTCTATGTTGTGTTCTTACTCTAAAACATGTAATCATATGCAATTTATTAAAAACATTGTATAAGCATTACCTTTTTATACTTGAAGTCTCATACATACAAAAAATTATCAAAATAAATATTAATAAATGTTTGTTTGAATCCTAAACTACTTAATAAAAACTTTAATAGAGAATTCTGAGAATGCTGGACGAATTTTCCGCAATTTCTGACACTATTTCCGTTATACTTTGACATAATTATTAACTATACATGGTGTTCCAATTTATTTGAAATCTAATAGCGAAATATAGAGTGAAAATAATGCGAATATAACACAGTCACACCTTTGTATCGGTGCGAACGTGACATATATCATAGAGATTGTCGACCTACGTGCGAGGCATGAGTGGATTTTACAGAAATAGAAGCAACGGCACTGCTGGTACTTCTGCAGACTTCATAATCAGTCTGAAATGTGAAATAGTACACGAAGCAAAGAAATGAAGCTGCAAGTTTCCTACGCTTATATTATTCGCAGTCGGCTTGCTACAATCTACTTTGATAGGATAATATTTTTAGAAGTGTTTTTAAATGCCTTGTATACTAATGTTATAAAGAGGAAATATTTGTATTTTTATGTTGAAATAAAAAAAAAAACTACTAGGCCGATTTTAAAAATTCTTTCACTGTTAGAAAGATAATTTATCTGCGAGTAATATGGGTATGTTTGTGAATGTTTAGTTCAATCACACTTTTACTTCTACCACATCTATAGTCGTTATGTTCGTGTTTAGTCATTTCTCTCTACTATTAAATAAATATTGCCTTTGAATAGTGTATGTAGTCACGTTTGCAAGCTTGATTAATACTCGTAAGAACATTTAAATATGAACTAGTTTATTATCTAGATTCGTTCGTTCGCAAACCACCTCGTTACGGAGAGAGCAGTTTCATGAATAATGTTCCACTAATAAACGAAGCACCGCCAAGTATCCACCTGACGATTTAAATTCAAGCAAATTTCGTCTCCCAATATT